CCCTCCTCTTCCTCCCCCCTCCTCCTCCTCCTCCTCCTCCTCCTCCTTCCCCTCCCCCCCCCCTCCTCCTCCTCCTCCCTCCCTCCCTCCCTCTCAAGCAACTCTGGCCCGAGCGGGGGCGGGGGGGGGTACTGGGTGGTCCTTACACCATACGCCCTCCTTGTCACATTTTGTGCGCTCCTACTTGGCCAGTCCTCGCGCCGCCTCGTGGTGTTTGGGGGACAGCACGCCACCCGCGTATAGTGCGCAGGCGCTCGTGCTTGACGAAAGCGAGGAAGTCTTTTCCGACGCTCGAGAGGAGCATTCCGACTCACAGGGGAGGGTGCTTCGGTGGTCTGGCCTTTTTAAAGGGTCGGCACGGCCAGGAAGGTTTCTTGCGTGGGAGCCCCTGGTGACGCCCCACACCTTGGTCTGGACAGGCACAGATCATTGGCGTTATGGATCCTAATATCTTGGAGAACCGGGAGGCATCAGACGTCGACATCAGTGTACTGGAACAGCACCATGCTCAAGCTCTGCGGGAACTAGGGGTCAGCGCGCGAGAACGAGATTTACTTAACCTTTTTGGGTCAGCCCTTGCAGCGGTGCCGGCTGTGGTTGTGGTATCCTGCGTCTGTCCGCCGCTCTCGTTTCGCGATGACCTCGATTGTCTCTTGCGTCGATACCTTGGTCAGAGGCAGATCGACGCTACGACCCGCAGGCTTCTCTACGACCAGCTCATATATGAGGCGCTCCATGGTCAGCTTCCGAACGCCACGATCATAGAGATTGCACGGCGCACGGACTGCATGCGGATCGCCGCGGTGCCCAGCTTCACGGCTTCATTACGCCCGATCCCGAATTACAGACCCATGGAAGGGACTACGCACAGTAACCCAACGGCGGCCTTGCGCCCGCTCGGCCACGGGAGTGATTTGGTCATGCGAGGCACTCAGGATGGGCATTTTCAGCTTCGCAACTATTTAGAGCGAGACGGAATGTTCAATGTAGAAGCGCTGGTTTATCAAGCCACTGCATGGCGCTGGCATGTCGCTTTCACAGCTCAATGGGACGGTTCCATGTGCCACTCCTGCGCAGTTGCTGTATGCAGGGCTATGGGAGCCGCTGCCATTCCGAGGGAGCCAGCGCCTTTCCTTTTACGCAATCACGAGTTTCGTCGCATGAGTCATTGGTCAGGACCTTACGCCTCATACTGGGATCATGCCATGGATCATCAGATGGAGCGAGTTTTGAACGAGCAGCTCGCAGCAGTCAACGCGGACACGGTCGTCATCAATAGTGCCGACGAGCTTGCGAGACGCATCCATCCGAGGGCCAAACCCAATGCCGCTGTCATGTGGATGTTTGCGGAGCGCTGCACATTCTCTGCTACAGAGCCGACATCGGGTGCTGAGACGGAGGCTCAATAAATTTGGGCTCACGTTGTCGTTATTTTTTGTTCGGGTATGGTGCTCTTGCAGTTCGGCTGGCTCCAATTATTTGGGTCATCTGCGCTGCCACGTGTTCAGCTATCCTTTTGCAATGGGGCTCTCTTCAGTGCTGTGCCGGCGCCGTCATTTACTTTGTGGTCGTCTCCCACAGCCGCCTGGGGAGGGTATTTCAATTCAAGTTTTGATTGGTCTCAGTGGGTGAGATCAATCCTTTCAGTGCATTGGTGGGCATGAAGGAAAGAAAGTGGCCGCTGTTTGGGCCAATGAAGCAGGGAACGGGGCTGGCGATCTCTGTTTGGAGCCTCTTGCTGTTGCTTGTGGAATTTGAGGTTGCCCTTTTGGGCCGAATCGAGTTGGTCCTTTCTCAGTTGTGTTGGTTTGCTCACTGTGTGTTCGCTGAGGTATTCATCCACAGTCTGTTGCTCGGAGTCTTCTTGTGTTATCACTGGCGTCTCCATCGGCGACATCATTTTGGGCTTCTCGCTCGTTTGCACTTCCTCATCTGGTCCGTGCAGTTCCTGTTCGAGGTCAGGGGAGGCCGCTTTGCTTTGACATGACACCGTCATATTGCCATTCCATTCCATTCCCTCCCTCCCTCCTTCCCCCTCCCTCCCCCTCCTCCTCCTCCTCCTCCTCCGTTCTGGCCGAGAGGCATGGCTCCCAATGACTGGTTCGCAGCGCCGACGCCAGTCGAGGAGCAGTTGCACGCGGCGGGCGCGGGCTCGGATCCACTGTCGGGTTCCCCAGCCCACGGGGCCCCCGCCAGGCCCATCGTCTTTTTCGGGGATGCGAGCGGGGGGGCGATGCGGCTGGCCCAGCAAGAGCTGATTGGCCATTTAAGCTGTCATATTTGAGTTTGCTGGAGCGACGTCAGATTGGCCGTCGCGGCTTCGCGGCCCGGGGCAGTCACGTGAGCGCCTCGGGGGTGAGCTCCGAGCCTTTGCGCCGCCTTCGGGGCCTGTTAGTTCAGTGCGGCACGCGAGGCCGCAGTCGTAGGGTGTCTCGCTCGGCGCTGGGATGCCCCTTCAGGCGAGGACGCGGGTCTCCGGGCCAAGCTCGGGCAGTTGTTCGAGTCTCGAGACCGGGGCTCGGCCACAGTCGTCGTTTTGTATTCGTATCAGGGCGAACCGGCAAGTCGTAGTCGCAAGCCCCCTCTGGCGGATGGTCACGGGGAGCCACGGTGTGTACGTCGCTGCGAGTTGCGCGGCACACGAGACGAAATTAGTTTTAGCAGTCAGGCAGACAGTCCCTTTAAACGAAAAGCGTGCTGCTCGTGTCAGGATGAGGCTGTTGCGGTCGACGATCGATGCGATAGCCGCCGGCGCGCTTGCACCTGAGGGCCGTCCGCCTTCTGCTGTTGCCCCGCCCACTTTCTCATCCAGTCGTTGCGTGGTTGACGGTGGGCGGGGGCTTGCACCGTCTGCGGAGCTTCCGTTTTTCCAAAAACCGTCCCGATGAATGGCCCACGTCCCCCCTTCGTCCACATGTTGAACTGTGCTGGCACAGTCTTCAGAGACACCCACAAGGTAAACTCCACATAGCTGGTGGGCACGTTCACGAATCTTACAATGTGAAGCTCTATATTAAGACCCGCCTGTGGAAGTCTATAGGATGCGGTGTTACGGTAGGGCTCGGGTGCGGGAGTTGGGCGAGATGCACGCGTGCAAGATCAGCCCCAGAGTGGAGTATCCTGATCGGATTTCCACACGTGTGGGTCCGACGGTTTCAAGTGACAACGAAAAACGTGCGCCCGGCCGTTCAATGAAATTTGCACGTGCGTGAAGGTTGTGTTTTACTACGACGGCGCCGTGTAGTCCTACTCCTACTCATCCCCTCCCCCCACCATGTTCCCTCTCCTCCTCCTCTGCTTCCTCCTTCTCCGACCACGACGACGACGACGACCAATACGAGTCCGCCTTTGGCGGCGACGATGACTATGGCGACGAACGGTGGAACAGAGGGGGGGGAGCAGGCGCAGGATAGAAAAGAGGAGGAGAAAAAATGAATAAATGGTGGGGAGGAGCGCAGGCGTAGGATCAGGCGGGAACAGGGGCAGGATGGGGAAGGAGCAGAGTAAACCCAGGGGGCATCAACGATGATGCAGTACGCCGGGTCGCCGCCAGCCTTTCATAAATCCTTACAAGGAGATTGTCCGATTGTGAGAAGCGCCCTTTTTTGCATGTCGAGCACACGTCGGGCCGAACATTTAGACGAGACCCCGTTGTTGTGCAGGATACATGTTCTGCATTACAAGTTTTGTAAAGCATGTCCATCTATAAATACGACCTAGCTCAAAGGAACTACACAGCGATAGCACCGTTCAAAACACATCCCCCTCCATTCGTGCAAGTGATGTGTAGTTTGGACCAGTGGGCAAACATTGCGGATGTCTCAAGCAATTTCCGGATTTTGAAAAGCAGCCGATGTCCATCCAGCCAGATTGAAATCACGTCGCCTTTGGGAATTGTCAGTCGTACAATGTGGGGAAAGTTCAATCGAGCACCGCATTTCAAAAGCGTGCAGGCTTGCATTATTGGTGCGATGTATTAGGATGAGTGCGCGCGTCGTTATTCAGTGAATCCCGTTTTCAAAGCCGCTGGCTCCCAAACATGTGTGTTGTCGTGATGGTGCAAGACGAGTGTGCGCAGCGCTAAGAAGAACCCCATCACCCTCCACAATCCCCTTTCTTCACGTTTTGTGTTTCAAGGCGTGCGTAGTTAAGGCGAGTGCCGCATTGAAAACAGCCAGCGTTCCATCCGTGTAATCGCTGCATGCTTTTACGACGAATGCGCACATCGTTAAGCGAGAGCACATTTTGAACACCATCGTCCTTCCACCCGTGTGGTTGCATGAGTTCCGTTGGATCAGGGCAGTGATTCGCAAGGAAGTTCCAGGCCAAACGCCTGGTCAGATTTGTGGACACGTTTGGTGGTGCGACTCTCAGTGAGTTAATCAGAAGGAAGAAGGACGGAGGAGGAGGAGGAGGAGGAGGAGGAGGAGGAGGAGGAGGAGGAGGAGGCGTTTGGGGGAGGAGGAGGAGGAGGAGGGAGGAGGAGGAGGAGGAGGAGGAGGAGCACGAGCAGGATCAGGAGCAGGAGCAGGAGCAGGAGCAGGAGCCGGAGCCGGAGCAGGAAAGGAGGAGGAGAAGGAGGAAATGGAGGAGGAGAAGAGAGGAGGAGGAGGAGGAGGAGGAGGAGGAGGAGGAGAAGGAGAAGGCATGGGTAGAGAGGAGCAGGAGCTGCAGGAGGAGGAGGCAGAGGCAGGGGAATGGTGTGGAAGAGGGGGGGATGTGGGAGGAGGGGAGGATGATGATGAGGAGGAGGAAGGGAAGGAAAGAGGAGGAGGAGGGGGAGGAGGAGGAGGAAGAGGAGGAGGAGCAGTGGAGTGGAGTGGAGTGGAGTGGAGTGGAGTGGAGTGGAGTGGAGTGGAGTGGAATGGACACCGCTGCACAGCAGGTTGGAGGAGGAGGAGGAGGAGGAGGAGGAGGAGGAAGAGGAGGAGAGGAGGAGGCGTGGGGGAAGGAGCAGCAGCGGCAGACGGGACGGGGAGCCCCCCCCCCCGCGGCGGCAGGAGGGCCAGGAGGCCCTGCACGCCGCGCGCGTGGCCCTGCGCGGGCTGCTCTCCGCGCTGCAGGGGGGGCTCGGAGACCTGCAGGCGGACCTGGCCGCCGCGTGCGACGCGGAGCCGTCGTGGGGGGGGGAGCCGCACCACGACGTCGGCGGCGGCCACAGCGAAGGCGACGCCGTCGCCGACGATGGCGAGGACGACGACGAAGGCCGACGACGACAGCGACGACGACGACGACGATGACGACGACGGTGATGGCGATGACTACAGCCGCGGCGACGACGACGACGACGACGGCGACGACGATGATGGCGATGACGACAGCGACGACGACGATGGTGACGGCTGCGGCGGAGGGGTGGGGGAATCCCTCGCTCCTGTATACCTTGCCTTCCTGCCTCGCTCCCTCCTCCCCCTTCATCCCTCCATCCTTCATTCCATGCCTCCATATTCTCTCCATATCTATCTTCCTCGACTCCCCTCTTCCATCCTCCCACGCTGTCTCCCTCCCTCAACGCGAGCGCCCGTGAAACGCGCCCCCTCGAAGGTGCAGTAGCAATGCGAGGGGATAACAGCGTCAGCGCTGGGAGTTGTGATCTGATGCCATCGCATACGCAGTAGCAGTGGCAAAAGTAGTAGGGTGTCTGATGATGCTGTTGTCTGTGGCTGTGGTGCGTTGCACGTTGTGCTCCCCGGAGACAGTTGTTCTCGGATCTTGGCCGCCGGCACCGCGTGACAGGGCGCAGCAGAAGGCACGGCGAAGACAGATCGAAGGAAACGAAAACAAAACGAAGACGAAGCACCGCGTCCAGCTGGAGCCCTGCTTTGTGAGGCCAATCGTGTCGTGCTACCCCATAACAGCCCGGGAACACCGCCGACGGCAGCAACAGCCAACGTGCGTCGCGCCCCTGGCTTGCCTGCCAGCAACCGGAGCTCCATAGTTGGCGTTACTGCTGGGGCGCAGGAGGCGGAGGAGGAGGAGGAGGAAGAGGAAGACTAAGAATACGACGGCTAAGTATACTAATACGAATAATATGCTTAATAATAATAAGAAGAATACGAATAGTAATAATAATAATAATAGGACGAATAATAAGACGAATAATATTAATACGAATAAGAAGAATAGTACTAAGGGGGTTCAATACAAACGGGGGTCAGCCAGAGCGCCAGATCTTGCAGGAGGAAAAGGAAGAGGAGGAGGAGGAGGGGGAGGAAAGGGAGGAGGAGGAGGGGGAGGAAAGCGAGGAGGAGGAGGAGGAGGAGGAGGAGGGGGAGGAGGAGAAGGAGGCGGAGGAGGAGGAAAGGGAGGAGGGGAGGAGGGGAGGAAAGGAGGAGGAGGAGAGGGAGAGCAGGCGGAGCGCAGGCCTCCTCCGCGGCTCCCGCCACGAGACGATACGCGACGGCCCCGCCGGCGTGGCCGCCCGCCTGCCCGTGGCAGGGCTCCAGCCGCCCCCTCCGCGCGGGGCTCTGGCCGATGACCCCCTCGCGCTTGGGAGAAAAACCGCGTCCTCTTCGCCTCCTCCTCCTCCTCCTCCTCCTCTCTCCTCCTTCTCCTTCTCCTTCCCTCCCTCCTCCCTCCTCTCCTCCTCCTCCTCCTCCTCCTCGTTCTCCTCCTCCTCCTCCTCCTCCTCCCTCCTCCTCCTCCTCCCCCTCCTCCTCCTCCCTCCCCTTCTTCCTCCTCCTCCCCCTCCTCCTCCTCCTCCTCCTCCTCCTCCTCCTCCTCCTCCTTGGGCGGGAGGGTGGTTGCTCGCTCCTGCTGGGTCGGGCCTGGCCCTCTGCAGGAGGAGTCTTCGAACGTAGTTGAGAAGTATAATCAGGGGGCGGTGTGCTTACTGTTCTTGGCTGCGTTTGCGAATTTGTTGATGTCTGCTCGCTAGTGTTGGGTCGGGCCTGGCCCCCTGCATGAGGAATCGTCAACAATAGTCCAAAATGATATGGGGACAAGTTGTTGGCACTGTTCTTGGCTATATTGGAGCATTCCCAACCATCCTGTGGTGTTGGGTCCTCGTTTTGAAGAGACGTTGCCCCGCGGTATCCTCCTCTCCTCCTCCTCCCCCTCCTTCCTACCGTCCGCATGCGTCCCGCACACCCAGTACAGCGTTTCGTGGTCCTCCTGCCCCTCCTCCCTGCGTTTCACCCACTCAGTACAGCGCTTCGTGGCCCCATAGGGAGCCGCACCGAAGGTCCCAGTGCTACCGTCCGCATGCGTCCCGCACGCCCAGTACAACATCGTGGCCCCAGAGGGAGCCCCACCGAAGGTCCCAGCGCTACCGTCCGCATGCGTCCCGCACACCCGGTACAGCGCTTCGTGGCCCTATAGGGAGCCACACCGAAGGCCCCAGTGCCCCCGTCCGCATGCGTCCCGCACACCCAGTACGGCGGTTCGTGGCCTTCCCCTCCTCCCTGTGTTCCACCCACCCAGTACATCGTCTCGTGGCCCCATAGGGAGCCCCACCGAAGGTCCCAGTGCTACCGTCCCCATGCGTCCCGCACACCCAGTACAGCGCTTCGTGGCCCCATAGGGAGCCCCACCGAAGGTCCCAGTGCTGCCGTCCGCATGCGTCCCGCACACCCAGTTCAGCGCTTCGTGGCCCCATAGGGAGCTCCACCGAAGGTCCCAGTGCTACCGTCCGCGTGCGTCCCGCACACCCAGTACAGCGTTTCGTGGCCCTCCTCCCTCTCCTCCCTAAGTTCCACCCACCCAGTACATCGTCTCGTGGCCCCATAGGGAGCCCCACCGAAGGTCCCAGTGCTACCGTCCGCATGCGTCCCACACGCCCAATACAGCGCTTCGTGGCCCCATAGGGAGCCCCACCGAAGGTCCCAGCGCTACTGTCCGCATGCGTCCCGCACACCCAGTTCAGCGTTTCGTGGCCCCATAGGGAGCTCCACAGAAGGCCCCAGTGCCCCCGTCCGCATGCATCCCGGAAGCCCAATTTGGCATGTTCACCCACCCAGTGCAGCGCTTCGTGGCCCCACAGGGGGGCTCCACCCAAGGCCCCAGTGCCACCGTCCGTATGCGTCTTGGACATGTAATTTGACATTTTCACCCACGCAGTGCAGCGTTTCGTGGCCCCACAGGGGGCTCCACGAAAGCCCCCAGTGGGACCGTCCGCATGCGTCCCGGAAGCTCAATTTGGCATGTTCACTCACTCAGTAGCGCGCCTCGTGGCCCCATAGGGACCTCCACCTAAGCCCTCAGTGGGACCGTCCGCATGCGTCCCAGAAGCCCAATTCGGAACACCAACCACAGTACAGCGTTCCCCCCCGCCCAGTGCAGCGCTTCGTGGCCCCACGGAGCTTCACCGAAGCAGGTATTCACAACTACGGTACCCACAACTGCATATGGTTGGGACCTTCGCCTGAATAAGTGTTTGATGTTTTTTGTTGTTCGATCTCTCTATATGTATATGTACATATGTATAAGAAAACAAAACAAAACTACCAACAACAACAACAACAACAACAACAACAACAACAACAACAACAACAACAACAACAACAACAGCAACAGCAACAGCAACAGCAACAGCAACAACAACAACAACAACAACAACGTTCAACATCCCCCCTGTAGGAGGACATGCCCGACCCAACGCAAGTCTCGGCCCCCCTGGGCCCGCCCTGGGCCCAGGGAGCGTCCCAGAACGACCTGTGGACGACGAGCCGGTCCCGGGGAGAGGGCCCCGACCTCTGGGGCCGGGAGCGGAAAAGAGGGGGGTGATGACTAGGGGGCCTCCTGCTCTTGGAGGGCACGCTTCCTTTTTGGCCCAGGGAGCGTCCGAGAACGACTTGAGGACGACGAGCCGGTCCCGGGGAGAGGGCCCCGACTTCGGGGGTCGGGGGCGGAAAAGCGGGGGGTGATGACTAGGGGCTCCTCCTCCTCCTCCTTCTCCTCCTCCTCCTCCTCCTCCTCCTCCTCATCGATCCTCCTCTTCTTCCTCATCGGTCCGCCTCCTCCTCCTCCTCCTCCTCCTCCTCCTGAGCATGTCGTGCTGCGCGGCCTCCAAGTACGCCAGGGGCGCCGACGTCCCCTTCCAGGGGGGCCACCGTGGCCGGCGGGGGGTCAGCCCGGGCCCCGGCGTGGCGTACAGAGGCCCGCCTCGCCGACGCCAGGAGGGCGTGTGCACCACGGTGGGGCCCAGGACGGCTTGGGCCAGGCACAACTGGGGGAGCTGTGGTCCTTACCCCCCTGGGGGACCCATCGATTTCGACACCCCTGTCGAGAGATCGTCGATCGTCGATGCGAGAGATCATCGATCTTGCGGTGCAGGGGCGCCGCCGGCCTCGCAGGGGTGCCGGGCGGCGGCGGCGGTCGCGCGCCGAGGATCGAGGGGGAAAGAAAAAAAAAAAAAAAAAAAGTTCCCCCAGGGGGGTAAGGACCACAGCTCCCCCAGTTATGGCTGGTCGGCTTTGGCCAGGCACGGTGGTGGAGTGCAGCTGCCAGCGGAAAAAGTACGGATTTCGGGATGTCGGGGGCGGCAAAGAGGGGGGTGAGGACTAGGGGGGGGGTGGACATCATGGCGGGGGCCATGATATTGCCTCGGATTTCATGGCGCCTCTTCTTATGTCCTCACGTCCCAGGCCCCCCCCGCTGGGCCGCGCACGTGCCGCCGATCATGATTTGCACCCCCCCCTCCCCTTGGGCGCCCCCCTCTTGGCCGCTCCCGATGGGGGGGCGACGTTGCAAAAAAGACTCGCGAAAGTCGGGGGTCCGGGTGGGGCCGTCTCGGGCCGTCCAGCATCAGGCTCGATGCGTCCTTCCGGGCCTCCCAGACACGGGGCAGAGCAGAGGGGTGCGGAAGATCGTGCCGCATCGCCGGTGCATCGGCGACGCGGCTCGATGTGGAGCCCGACTTTCGCCACGCCAGCGTGGCCAAAGTGCAGCGACGTCGCCGATGCATCGACGATGCGGCGCGATTTCTCCGGCCCCATCTTCTCCGACCCCATCTGGGGGAAATTTCTAGGGGCTGTCCTGAGGTCGGGAAGGCCGACAGCGGATACGGAAACAATGGGCACGAAGACCGACAGCAGCTATCCTGGTTGTCGGCGTCGCCACAGGCGTCGCCCATTTGATACAGAAGGCCGGCCGCCAAACAGCGTCGGCTGTTGGTTCTGGACAACATATGTTGTTGGGCATCGTACACATTTTTGTCCGTACCCTTTTCGGGCGTCTTCGCGGGGTCTAGCGACAGTGAGGCGTTGTGTAAGTGACAGATGTAGTATCAGCGTTCGTGGAATCGGTAGTGATAGAGGCAGTTGTAATGCTACGCGTCATGAATTGGGATAGTGGCGATGATGGCTACAGGGTCTTTGGAACAGCGTCATCAGTGCAGAGTGAGATCGGGCCGGGCGTCGGCGTCGGCCCCGCTCAGCGAGCGGCGTCCCAGGACGACGCCGTGCTGCTGCCGCGTTCCGAGGAGGACAGCTCTTTGGGGCCTGATGAGGAGGCAGCGAGCGAAAGCGACGGACTCCGGGCTTTTGGGGGAGAGACGAGCGCCAGCCGATTGGCGCGCGGTAGCTCCCGTCACCCTCCTGCTGCGATGTCGGGCCTATGGGGCCTGATGAGGAGGCAGCGAGCGAAAGCGACGGACTCCGGGCTTTTGGGGGAGAGACGAGCGCCAGCCGATTGGCGCGCGGTAGCTCCCGTCACCCTCCTGCTGCGATGTCGGGCCTCCGCTCGCCTGACAACGGAGCGCCGGTCCTGCCTTCTTCTCCCCCTCGTCCTTCACTGTCCTCTACTTCCCCTTGGTAGCGCTCGGACGTGTGCACTTTTTCTCGGCGGGGAGTATTTAGGAGCATCCTGGATCCTCCTGCGAAAGAAGCCACGCACGAAACCGAAAAAGGCACAGGGAATGGACGTCCGAGCGATGGCCAGTTCTGCGCCTCCCTCGCGCGAGTCGGCCCCCCTGCACCCATCGGGGAGCCCCGCTCGCCACGCCTTGTCTCCCCCCCCATGCCTAGGCGGAAGGGGGGGGGAGGGCGCCGCCCAAGGGGGGAGCATCGACCCCCAATCGCCCATGCAGCCAAGACGCTGAAATAAGGAACAGTTTGGATTCGGAAGGGGCTCGCTGTTCCTTAGGTTCCTCCTTTGCTGTTCCTCGTGCCCTCCCCAGGCACGGAGGCGCTTCCAGGGCCAGAAAGGGGTTTCGGCCCTTGTATACCAGGAGAAAAAAACACACGCAGACACAATGAATCGTCGACTCTCCAGAAAAGATGGGGAAATATGGGAAGTGGAAGGAGGGAAGACGAAAACCCAGAAACTATTGAGGAAATGTAGGGAATCCTTTTCTTTGTGTGTATCTGTTTGTGTGTCCCAGCAGATATGGGGAAATGTGGGGAAATACGGGCAGTGGAGGGGAAGACAAGAACCCAGAAAGTATTGGGAGAGTATATGGAATCCTCTGATTTGTGTGTGTATCTCTACTTGTGTGTCCCAGGGCCCCTTCAGAGCCGCCGATCTCGGGGCCTGCGCCCTCCACCCCGCCCGGGCGCGCGCTCGGTGTTGCGCCGCCGGGGGCGCCCAGGCATCTCTCCGCTCCCTCGGCGCCGGGCGCCGCCTCCCCCCTGCTCCGAGTTGTCCGTCGTCGTCGTCGTCGTCGTCGTCGTCGTCGTCGTCGTCGTCGTCCGTAGCCATTTTGGCTCAAGGCTGCCATTTGGGTTCCGTGCCCCCCCCGCTGGGGCGAGGGGTTGGGCGCGGCCAACTGGCCCCAGCCAGCGGCCCGTGCAGCGGGCGCTGGTGCACTGCCGCCGCGATTCCTGGGGCGCGGTCCAGGAGTCGCTCACCCGCCTGGCATAGGCGAGCCCGTCGGGCGAGAGCCACCGCCCGCCGCGAGCTCAGGCTCGACGCGGCGCGGCGGCTCCTGAGGCGGCACCACGGCGAGCACTGGGCCATGCAGGCCTCGGGTGCTTCTGGAGCTGGCGCTGCAGCTGGTCCTGACGCAGCGGCGGCGACCCCGCCTTGGAGGCAGCTGCCGCAGCAAGCCAGCGGGTCATGGGCATGCAAGGCGTCCAAGCAGTGCGGCTTCAAGAACAATTTTGCCACAAGGAGCACGTGCTGGAAGTGTGGGCGCACCAGAGACGGACGGTGTGACACCAGCCGCCCACGTCCGCCTTCGCGTGGGGCGCGCGATCATCCTGGGCGTGATCGTGGCCCTGATGCAGCTGGTGGACCTTCCTCAGCAGGGTCAGAGGTGGCGCGGTGTCGAAAGGCTGTCCAGTCCTTGCGGTGCCTCCACTACGACGACTCCAACGAGGTCATGCAGTTGGCAATCGCCTCCTTGGCACAAGCTGAACGACAGGAGCGAGACGCCATGCCACCTGAGGAAGCATTGCGTTGTGCCATGGACAGGCTTGGGTCCAAGGAGGCGGAGAAAGACAAGCTCGTCCAGCAGATCACCGAGATGGAGACCAAGCTGGTTGACGCCAAGGCCAAGCTCGAGATCGTCGCCAGGGACATCTCGATCATCCAGGCGGACGTGGCCAAGGCAAAGGTGGCCATGGCTCCAGTCCCACAGCCAACTGTTGGAGACCAGGGCATCGCCAATGTGGCAGCGGCGGTGCAGAGCCTCCAGACATCCATCCTCAGCGCCCAGCAGTCTGTGCAACTCGGCCAATCGAGGGAGCAGGTGGGCGCTCAGTTACTGGACTCGCTGGTATCCAACATTCAGCAGCTGGGCGCGCTCTTGCCCGCAGTTCAAGGAGACAATGGGGAGCCAGCAGGTGGGAGGGGCGCGGTCGGAGCCGCTTTTCGCACCTCCGCCGCAGATGCTCCAGCAGCGTCTCAGGACGCACCACCAGTTGTCGCCGCCTCAGCCGCAGGAGTCCGAGCCCCAGGGGTCCCAGTCGTACCAGACGGACGCATGGAGATGGACACCCCGCAGGCATGGCAGAACGCGCAGACGGGCACCGCGGGGGGCACGCAGGCATGGCATGGGCGTGATCACCTTCAATGGGTCTTGCTGGAGTACTATACAGCAGTTTTTGCTTGAAGGTGTGGGGGCGCTCAAGTTGTGTGTGCGCAAGAACTTAGACTTGACGGTGAAGCTGTGGATCGTGCCCAGACGTGGGCCTTGAGACACGGATGGAAGCCGTACATATCACCACGCAGGAGATTGCAATCAATGAAGCCCTCGGCTGGGGTAGGGATTTTCGTGCGAGGACATATCTCCGCCACTATGTTATCAGGTTGTCCTATCATGAAGGGCTTCAACATATCGCCAGCCTGGGCCATGGCGCTGCACGTGCAGACGGGGCTCCCAGGCGGGCTGGTCATCGGGTCGGTGTACATGGAGTCCGTCGGTTTGAGCAATTACGTGAGCGCGAACTACACCAGGTTCATGAGGCTGGGTGCGTGCTTGCGCCATTTTGCTGTGACATTGTCGCGGGAGACTGGAATGCACCCCCACACGAATTGGAGACCATGGGCCTACTAGACATGCTGTCAGCCGCCATCGTCACGCCAGCACGTTGTGAGGGAACGTGTCGCAGTGCGAAAGGCCACTACAGCATGATCGACTACTGGATGGTCTCGGCGGATATGGTGAAGGCATGCGAGAGGCCACGCTTGGTGGAGAAGTGGCCAGCCAGACCTCATCACCCAGTGCGCTTCGACCTGGCCGCACAGCCGCGGCGCCACACGCAGATCACCCTGACGGGACCGAAGCGTTTTCCTCGGGCGCACCCTGCGCACGCGGGCTGCCACCCATTGGAGGGGCCACCGCCAGAGCGAGACTATCTTGCTCGTGTACAGGAAGATGTTCAACTGGGACTGCCTGCAGATGCGGATGAGGCTCAGCAGAGGCTGGACGGGCTATACACTGGCATGCTGCAAGATGTGGAGAAGGACCTCTGCCACATCTATCAAGTTGGTGAGCCTCATCATCACTGTGGGAGAGCTGCTGGCCCAGCTTATGTTCGCCGACCTGTCGGAGGCCCTGCCCGAGGCGGACATCCTGCTGCAGGGTCTGAGCCTCGACGTCTGCGTGCAGTCGCAACGGCGGTGAAGGACCTTCTCACGCAGGAGCATCATACGCGTCCAGTCAAGACAAGATGGGCGCGGGTCGGCCGAGTTCTCAGGCCTGGACATCGGCAAGATGTTCATACTACGGAAGGTCACACGCTGCTCGACTGGGCCTGGATTATCATACACCAGGCATGTTCTCATGGAGGTGTGGCCTACGCAGTGATGTTGCAGGCATACGCGGGCCTCCTGGAATCTCATGCTGGCATCCTAGAGGATAGGGCGGCGCGAGCTCGCTCCCAGGCCTTCCGCAAGTGGGCCAAGGATGCGCTGGTCACAGGGCCTGCACCCCTGTTCGCCATGACCAAGCTGAAGGGGTGGTCTCACCAGGAGGTCGACAGGTTCGGCATCAGGACTTCGCTCCCTCAGGCAGTTGCTGATTGCCAGATGGACTACTGGAATCACATCTGGCAGGGGCGCAGCCTGAGCTACCAGGACGACGATGATGATCAGGAGTTCGATGTGGACCATCTCATCGAACAAGATAGCGGGGTCGCTGAGTTCATGAGGAGTCTGCCCCATCAAGCCCTGGAGGTGCCCAAGGTGCACGACCTGAGGCGCGCGGCTGCGACGTTCACGTGGCGCACAGGGGTCGGCGTCGATGGTCTATCTCCGCGGGCCTTCCCCCTGCTCTCCGATGAAGCGCTGGCCCAGGTCGTGCACCTCATCTGGGCGGCCGAGACATGGTGCCGATGGCCGACAGCAGCTATGTCAGTTCACATTCTTTTGCTGGGGAAGCCAGCGGGTGGGTTCCGACCCATCGCACTACTGCCTTCCTTGCACAGGCTGTATATGAAAGTGAGAGTGGTGCACCTACGACGCTGGGCAGCTGAGCATACCAGACCGTTCTTTGCTCTTGGGCAGGGCAAGTGCACGGTGGACGTAGCAGCGCGCACGAGGGTGCACGCAGAAGCCGCTGATCGACTGCAGAGGGACACCATAGTCACGGCCCTTATCGACATCAGTAAGTGCTTCGACAGGGTGGTATGGATGAAGATCATGATGGCGGCCGAGATGCATGAGTTCCCAGTCGTCATCCTCAAGATGTGTATGAGTATGTATGCAGCGCCTAGGCGCATCAGGTGGGCAGATACTTACCCTTTTGCAGTGGCAGTTGGACAGGGTGTGCTCCCTGGGTGCACAGCAGCGATGTACCTTCTCCAACTTGTGATGATCACACCCTTCGACGTTTTTGTATCCTCGACGTCGCACATACCCAGGTCCATAGATGTGTACGCGGACGATATCACAGTCCAGATTACGGAGCACATCAGCACGATCGTCGACACGGCCGTGACATTGCTCGAGCGCCTGGCTGCGGTCCTGCTGGCCCTCGAGTTGCCCATCGCAGCTGACAAGGCCAAGGTGCTCAGCTCGAACTTGGAGGTGGCGAAGCTGGTGGCTCGGCGCACCAGTAGGCATGGGTTTCGTGTAGCCACGTCGCTCAACATTCTCGGGATGGAGACGCGGTCAGGCAAGCCCATCACCTATGCCACGGCGCACAAAAGGGCACGCAGGGTCAAGAAGCGGCTCCCCAGATTCAGGAGGCTCCGTAGTACCATCGCCGTGGCAAAGAAGATTGGCACGCCCAGCTTGGGCCCAGCCATGCAGCATGGCCTCCAGGTTGTCAGTGCACCCCCAGCGACGGTGGCCACCATGACCAAGGTTGCACGCGTGGGATGGGGCAAGACGCCTTCAGCTACGTCAACGTGGTTGGCATCGCAGCTGGAGCCGTCGCCGCACTTACAGCCAGAATGCATTGCTACGGTCGAACCTTTACTCACATGGGCCCAGCTTGTGATGGATGGCGTGGTGCCCCATCGTGTCCTTCAGATGGCGTGGGAAAAACAGGATCGGCTACTTAGAGGATCGCATGCCCCTTGGAAGCTGATTGCGGGTCCTGCTGGGGCGGTCATCACCTGCCTCAAGAAACTGAACTGGAGGTATTCGAGTTTCTCAAGCTGGACCACAGGCACGGGCATCGTGCTCGACCTTACGCTACACGCACCTGCCTGGGTCAGAAAGGTGGCTAGGAGAGCGCACGTCAATGTCAAGTGGGAACAGTGGGCTCGTGGATCCGACGTTGCACCTGAGACAACATCTGCAGTGAGAGACTCTAGCGGCTACTGGCTGGAGCCTATCCGTATGATGCTGCAGGCCCCGCCCACGGCCAAGTTGTGGAAGTTGAGCGACATTGCAGTCAGTGCGTTGCGTTCCACAGTGATTGGGAAAGTGGACGCAGAAGCGCTTGGCCAAGTACGGCTTCTCGGACATGGACTACTGCCAGGTGCGCGGAGAAGGACATGACGGGACCCTCCATCACAGGTTTTGGGAATGCCCGCTTCTGTGTCGTCATTGCGCGGACGCCGTGGAACAGGACACCATCATCAGAGCGCAGGCTGCCCCCGTCAACGATTTGTCTGTTTCACCCGTGCCTTGATGTCCCGAGCATGTCTCCCACCAGCGCCACCACCTGTCATGACAGACCAGTGGTACTACGACCGATGGGAGAGTGGCCTGGACATATCAGGTGATGTGTTCACGGACGGGTCCGGGCGAACACTGATCGCCTGGCCTGAGGCGAACCGCGCTGGATGGGGGTTCGCCGTCATGCAGAGACATCGGTGCAAGGGCCCGGCGCTCGGGCCGCTTGCAGGCCATGAGCAGAGCGTGCCGAGAGCGGAGCTGTACGCCATCAAACAGGTCCTGAAGCACGGGATTCTTCCCCTCAACATCAAGTCCGACTGCTTGAACGTTGTGGAGGCCATACACAAGGGACCGCTTGGTGCATGCATGTCCGTCGTGAACACCTGGACCTCTGGAAGCTGTTTTGGCATCTGGTGCAGGACCAAGGCGGTCTCTCTGAATCATTGTGCATCGCGTGGATTCGGTCTCATCAGACGGACATCGACACTCAAGGTAGGCTCGACAAGGCAGGCAATGATTGGGCTGACCTTGCGGCCAAGCGCGGTCTCAAGAAGCACGATCTACCAGTGGCAGTGGTGGATAGGCACAAGCAGCTACTCGAGGACGTGAGGCAAGTGGCCGCGTGGATCGCCAACTCGCAGAGTTTCTCTGGGGATGTGCAGTCGGACAGGGTTGACACGGTCGGCCGCAAGTCTTACTCGAAGTCGGCCGTGCCGAAGCGGAGTGCTGAAAAGAAGTTGCATCCTGACTTGGCCTTAGGTGCCGTTCCGCACACCCCCATCTTATATAAGGGAGGTTGGAAGTGTTGTAGGTGTCCTAAGGTGGCCAGGTCCTGGGCGGGGAAGCGGAGGATGTGCGCGTTGCCGTGCAGTGCGCAGCCGTGCTGCGCCCCCCCGCACCCACCCCCCACCTCGGGAAGCTCAGGATCTGGCACCAAGAGGGCTCTGGATCGAGTCCATCAGGTAGATGATAGGTCGGTCAGAGCCCGACGAGAAGATGCACCTAGTAGTTTGCACCCAGCTCCTGTTTCCCCCTCCCTGGTCCGCCTTGATCGGGGTCAGGGGTCTCAGGAAAGCCATGAATTTCTTAGAGCTGTGCGCCCTCGAGTGACTTTCGCCCCTGTCCTGGAGCCTCCCCCTGGGCCCGCGGAGGTCCTTAGGGGAGCTGTGGAAGCTGGCTCGAAGAAACGCCCCCGCGGGAACCAACCTCTCGGCAGGTGTCACGCGGTCCCGCCCGAGGCCCCGTTGCCCCCGTCTGGTCCCGTCCCGCCGAGGAGCGCACGCGGACATAGGTTGTATATCTCCCAGGACATTGTAGGATGCAGCAGGTGCGGAGCGTACTCTGCCAGAGGCAGCCGCTCACAGCTGTATGACATTTGTAACCCGGATCAGCTTCAGGACGATCGTCAGCGCAAGTGGCGCAGAGATAATTTTATGTCGGGGGTCCACCCGAGGGCGCGAGGTTATCCCGCGATCCCTGTCCCCCGGCCCCTAGACGTGGCCGACGAGGCTGTGCAGTGGCTCGGCCTCATTTCCTTATCCTAGTTTCTGTGACAACTCGTCTGGCTTTGATCCAGCTCAGGTCGTACGGACCTGGAGCTTAGCGTCGGTGATGTCGCATCCCCCTCGCTCGACTGTGCTGATTGCATGTGCGTTGCTATAGTCTGTGTTTTGTGATAGATTGTGCGTCTCTCCTTTTTCCTGCTGCTCATTTAATCCCCGAACCTGGACTCGGCGCGTCTTCCCATGTGCTCGCTTGTCGTCGTCGTCGTCGTCGTCGTCGTCGTCGTCGTCGTCGTCGTCGTCATCGTCCGTCGTCCGTCGTCGTCGTCGTCGTCGACTGTCGTCTGTCGTCCGTCGTCGTCGTCGTCGTCGTCGTCCGTCGTCCATCGTCGTCGTCGTCGTCGTCGTCGTCGTCGTCGTCGTGCGTACCTCTCTGGCCCTGCGGCTGCTGCGCTGCGGCTGCCGCTCCCGCGCACCCTCTTCCTCGCCTCGCCGCACGGCTGCGCCCACGGAGCGGGCAGGCAGCTGGCCGGTCGCAGCCTCGGCCTCCTGGCTGAGGCTTCGCCCTCCGCGCCATGCCGCGGTGGGGCACGGGTGGATTCCCTGCCAGCCAGCGGGGCGCGCACGCCACCCCGCCAGGGAGAGGCCCATCCGGCCAGAGAGAGGCCCTGAGGCCCAAGCCACTTCCTCCTCCCCCTGCCCCTCGGCCGCCTCTACTCCCCCCTCCCTTCTTCTTCGCATCCTCCTCCTCCTCCTCCTCGGCCTCCTCATCCTCCTCCTCCTCCTCCTCCTCCTCCTCCTCCTCCTCCTCCTTCCCTCCTCCAACTCCTCCTCCTCCTCCTTTCCAACTCCAACTCCAACTTCCAACGGGGCGTTGGTGAACGGGGCGGCAGCGGAGGGCCTCTTCGAGCGAGGACGGGGCGACGGGGCGCCGACCTCGCTCCATTGCGTGATGACTCGGGGCGGCAAAAGCGTCGATACATCATCGTGACTCTGGGCCCCAGACCCTCGCTCGACAAGATTTGTTGTTGACAACGTCGACCCTCAGAGCGGTCTCGACCCTTCCCCTCGACTGGCGTTTCCTCCCGAGTCGTTGTTCGACGGTCCCGAGGGCCGGAAAGGGCCTCCGGAGGCCGAACATCAGGAGAAATGTCCCGTCGTGATTTTTGCATTACCCGACGGGGTCTCGGGCCTTTGAAAACGCACCCCCAGCTACCGGCCTGTTTACGAACGCCCCGCTTGCAGGGGCACGGGAGACCCACGTCGGGCGCAGTCGCAGATTGGATCTCGGGGCCGCCTCGCGGCGTCATGGCCAACTTCGTCGAGCCCCCCAAAGGGAGTCCCAGCTGAGACCTAACAATCAGAGGAGTATAATATTCGTAGAAGGAAAAAAACTGCACTTTTTAAAAGGAGGAACGGCATAAACATAAACTGTTGGAGTTCCGCGCGGATTTCTTCGATCCGATCTAGGGCCCCCCTGGCGGCGCCTCCGGCGCCGCCCTTGGCGCGCTCTGCACGCCGGGGAGGGGGGTCCAGCGCAGATCCAAGAAATCCGCGCGGAGCACCAAAAGGTTGTGTGTATGTTGTTTTGTCTTCCTCTTCTGTCGTCCAAATGCAGGTTCGAGGGGAAAGCGTCCAGTAAGAGGCTGCGACTGTTTGCAAGGGTCGACGATCGGCACCGGGCAGCGGTTGTACATGGTGGGCGCGCGGCTTCACATAGCATGTTGGCCATTGATGTCCACTCACGCCGACTCAATTCTTGATGTTTTCTTTTTCATGCTGACGAGTGGGTTTCTCCGTGTCCATGATTGAGTTAGGCAGGGGCATCATGATTCTGGCTCGTATCTTCCCTCTGGTTGTGCACCTCGTCATCCATAGCTCATCGTCGTGCTCGTTGTTCTCCTTCTCCTGCTGATCATCGTGCTGTTCGTCCTGCTGTTGCCGATAATGTTGCTCCTTGTCTTCCTGCTTGGTGCGCTCCCCCTGCAACTCATTCCCCTCCTGCTCGTCCTCTTGACCCTGCTGCTTGTCATACCTTCTCCTGCTGCTCCTCCAGGGGGCGACAGAGTCCAGCCTCGCGGCCTTGAAGGACACGTCGGAGCTCGAGGGGCTCCGGGCCAAGGCCCGGGAGACGCTGCTGGACTCCCACAGGAGAGCGCAGCTCCTCCTCACACGGGGCGAGAAGTGGGGAGAGGGAGTGGGAGGGGAGGGGAACGCGGGGGAGGACGGGAGAATGAGGAGCAGGGAAGGATCGAAGGAGGGGGGGGGATGGAAGCGGGGGAGGAGGACGACGGGGAAGGCGCGTTCCAGCGAGAGGTCCAGGGCCGCGGAGGCGGTCGCAGCGAGCCAGGCTTCGGAACTCGCCGCATCCGTTTCGCCGTGCGTCGGGGTGCCAGCGTCGCTCGGGCGCTCCACGACAGCAGAGAGAGAGACCCATGCACCACCTCCCATCCCACAACCGATGCCGACGACTGGGGGTCCTCCTCCTCCTCCTCTTCCTGCTCCTGGAGGTGGAACGAGCAATGACATAGACACACACAAGCTCGGAGGTCCGCGCGGAGTTCTCGGAGCCGTCCTGGACCCCCCCCCCCCCCCAGCGGCGCTGCGGCGCCGCCCTCGGCGCGCTCCGCGCGCCGAGGGAGGGGGGTGCAGCGCCGAGCCGAGAAGTCCGCGCGAACCTCCGAGCTTTGTTGTTTAATGCGCCTTAGCCTACTTGTGGCTAGAGGCGCAGAGGCAGAGTGTTTCGCCGCGTTCTCTGCCTCACCCCAGGTCTTTGTCTGCAGGAACCCCATCGGGTCCTGCAGCCTTTGGGTGCATGCTTCTTAGAAGCTGCACCACCTGGCCTGTCCACGGCAGCTCAGTGCTGTCTTTGGCACCGCGGTCGATGCCCACGGCAAACAAAAATAGCTTTGTTGTTTAAGCGACTCTTCGTTCCCGGAATGACGTGTGTGCAATTTGGATGCAGAGATGCATCTACCAGCACGTGCACGACCCACGCACCCCAAGGAGCAGCCGCCATCGGACGACGACGTGGTGCAGAGGTGTACGTCGCCGGCGCGCCCAGTTCATTGGCATCTTCGGGGGGGGGCTCAGCATGGAGGATCCGAGACAAGCAGCTGATGGAGGTAGTTCCCCTTGCTCGTCAAGTAAACAGTGATGCGCATCGTGGCAGCAATATGGCGACGTATGCTTACCCGTTTCGGGCCAATCTTGGCAAGCGGCCCTTGGTTTCAAGTCTTTTTTCCCGGCCCGACACATGTGCCAGGGAATCGGGAGATGGCGTGAGCTACATAGTTTTCACACACACACATCCTAATCGTTGCCCCGACGTTCCAGCGTTTGAGTGGAAGCCGCGAAACTGATTAATTTCTCCGTCAGACGAAGCAGGCGGAGCGTAAGTCGCCAAGAAGCACTTGTGTGCCCGTTTGCTTGCGTAAGCACATCTTTCTCTGCAATCTTGCGTCCGCTTGCAAGAGGAGGTGCAAGTAAGGATGTCTGCCTTTAGCTTCCAGGCCTGCCAAGTTGCCGCTTGCATTCCTCGTCGTCCAACCTGTAAGAGGGGAACGGCTGGGACAGACGCACCAAGCACTATCAAGCACGCTGTTGCTGTGTGGTGTGATTATCTTCCACACGTCAGGTGAGGAAGACAGCGGCTTTCAAGCGCAACCGTTGCTTCGGTTATGCGCCGGACGCGTGTTGCTGAGTCCTGATGTCTGTTCCCGCCGTCTCCCTCAGAAGTCAAGCATTATGTTGTTGGTGCAAACCTTGAACCACTTATAGATGGCAACACACGCGGTACCTTCCCCACGACTCTACGCTGCAGTTGTCCATAAGCGGGGGCTGCTTCATTTACCATCTGCCCGTTGCTCGGCCGCCATCTTGCCCTTCAGCTCTTCCGCTCCTCGCACTCCATGCGCATGCCTGGAGCGCCGAGCAACCGAGCGGCAGTGGTTGTGCCGATGGACTCGTGCGTGTCGCCGGGCTGCCTCGGTGCGTCCAGTCGCCGGCCAGGTCCTCTGCTCGCCGCAACCTGGTCTCCAGCGTCGAGCATCTGAGCGGCAGTGCTTGTGCCCATGGGTTTGGGTGTCCCGCCGGGCCGACACGGTGCGTCCACTCGCCCGCCGCCGCGCGCGCGCCAGCCAGATTCACGTGTCACACCTTCCTGCCCTTCAGCGTGCCGCGCCGCGCCCCTGCAGGAGGCGAGGGAGACGGAGGAGGCGCGTGAGGATCTGGAGGGAGAGAGGGGACGACGAAGATCGAAGGAAGGACGTTTGCCTAGACGTCAGTTCTCCAAGCTCCGCGCGGAGTTCGTGGCGCGCGGCGCGCGGCAGGGGGGGCGCTTCCACAAGGGCCCGCGGCGCGTCCGACGTCGCGGGTGTTTGGGGCCGATCTCCGCCCAAAGAGATACGCGCGGAGCTCCGAGAGTTTGGCTTACCATTTTCAGTAAGACTCCTTCTCCTCCTTCTCCTCCTCCTCCTCTTCCTCCTCCTCCTCCTCCTCCCTCCTCCTCCTCCTCCTCCTCCCCCTGCTCCTTCCCCCTCTCCTCCTCCTCCTCCTCCTGCTCCTCCTCCTCCTCATCCGCCTCCTCCTCCTCCCCCTCCTCCTCCTCCTCCTCTTCCTCCTTTCCTCCCCCTCCTTCTCCCCCCTCTCCTCCTCCTCCCTCCTCCTCCTCCTCCTCCTCCTCCTCCTCCTCCTCCTCCTCCTCCTCCTCCTCCTGCTCCTGCTCCTGCTCCTCCTCCTCCTCCTCCTCCCTCCTCCTCCTCCTCCTCCTCCTCCTCCTCCTCCTCCTCCTCCTCCTCCTCCTCCTCCTCCCCCCCCTCCCCCCCCTCCTCCTCCTCCCCTCCTCCTCCTTCTCCTCCTCCTGCTCCTGCTCCTGCTCGTGCTAGTACTGGTGCTCCTGCTCCCCCTCCTCTCCTCCACCTCCTCCTCCTCCTCCTCCTCCTCCTCCTCCTCCTCCTCCTCCTCCTCCTCCTCCTCTTCTCCTCCTCCTCCTCCTCCTCCTCTCTCCTTCTCCTCCTCCTCCTCCTTCTCCTCCTCCTGCTCCTGCTCCTGCTTCTGCTCCTCCTCCTCCTCCTCCTTCTCCCTCCTCCTCCTCCTCCTCCTCCTCCTCCTCCCCCTCCTCCCCCTCCTCCTCCCCCTCCTCTCGCGCGAGTCTTGCGCGGAGGTCTTGTACCGCGGACCCTGTGCGCTGTGTGCGTGGCTCCTGTGCTCGCCCTTGAGCTCGGACCAAGCTCTGCCGAGCGCTGCTCGGCACAAGATCCTCTGTGCGCCTGGTGCGCCGGCACGCTTCACTCCGGCAGTCTTTCCGTTAGAAACAGTATGCCTTCTTTCGGGGGCGGCAAACAGCGGGGTGATGACTAGGGGGGAGTGGGTATCATTTCGTGGGCCATGATAGTTCCTCAGATTTCATGGCGCCTCTTCTTATTTCATTACGTCCTCTTGGGCCGCGCACATGCCGCTGGCCATGGTTTGCGCCCTACCCTCTTGGCCGACCCTGATTCTCTCGGATAGCAAGGGTGCGCGGTAAGCGGGGCCGGTCAGTGAATGGGCCCAGAGACCAGACAGATTGACCAGAATCACCAATGTGCATCTGCTAAACGCCCCACGCCCAACTCTTCTGTTTCCACCCACCAAAGCACTCCAACACGACCCACCCGAAGGTCCTAGTTTGCCCTCCACTCCCAGTGGGGCGGGGGCGTCGGGGAAGATTGAAAACACACATGTGGAATCCATACCCCCCCCGACCCGAGATGCCGGTTTTCGGGTTAGGTTGGGATGGTCTGATAGGTGATCGTGTTTTCTTATTCATTGTTTTGCCGATCGGCGCGGGCCCTCGCATCCCCCCCCTCCCCCCCATGGAGTGGGTCTTGGCTGTTTTGGGGGCGCCTGTTTCGAGCAGGTGGAGCCGTCCCCATAGGACGCACTGTTGCAACCAGTCGCACTGAGCAGAGGTCCGGAGCCAGATCCCCCCCCTTCCCCCAACGTCGAGACGCCGAAGAAGAGAACGTTGACTGGGTTTATGATGTTGTCAACCTACTTTAGCCTTGACTTCCAGCAAGAATTTCGAGCACCAAAAAAGGACCGAAACTCGAGGGTTTTCACGTGTCGGGCCTTGGGAGACACTCGTCCGACATTGTTTCGATATTGTTTCGACACTCTTCGGGGCGCTCGAACTTATTTCTTGGATGTGGTCCCTAAGTACCCGAGCACTTTCTTTGGGTGGAGGGCAAAGGGTGAAATCTGAAATGCCGTTTCGATGAATATTCAAGGCTTGAATCTGCAAAAGGCGAATCACAAGGCGGACTGATTTTCGAGGGGCGAAAGCCCATTTGCATTTCACCCTGAACCCTCCACCCTAAGAAAATACCCAGAGTACGATGGGAGCAACAACAGACTCTGCAGTCATTTTGCCGCTCCAGGGGGGTGGAACGACGACGAGGCACAGCGCCCGCCCCCGCCCCCCCTGCCGCTGCGCCGCCTCCACGCTTCCCGGCAGGAAGCACCTCCGGGAGCTGCGGGAGGCCGTGGCAGCGCGGCTGGCCCTGGTCCTCACGAGCGGCGAGCGTATGCTTAAGTCGGGCATGCATCTCTACAGGAGGAAGATTCAAAAAATAGTCAAAAAATAGTCTGGGGACGATGTTCAAACTATGTTTGAGACTCTTTTTCGATATTCTCGATGATTTGTAACTTTTCTTCCAAAACCCGCCTGTAGGAGGACGTGCCCCGACCTTTCGAACAGGGGATCGGCTGCAGAATTCATGTACCGCAAAACTGAATGCCTCGTCCGACCTACGCGAAGGACGACGAGTGCTCGTAGATCTAGGAACCGCCGACGTATTTCTTCATGGTTGGCAGACTCGAGGACTACGTCAAATTCCTGGGCACATTCATTATTCAGTATCATTTAACCGGCCCCCCTCCCCATCCCCATCCCCTTCAAGACCCCCACCAAATTACCCCCCAGTTGGGGATACACCCCTCGAAACCCGAAGGGAACGGCCTATATCCCCATTTAGGGGGGTAAATCGGCCAGTGGGGCCCAGGCTGCGCCGCTGGGGATAGGGGTCGGATAAACGATGTTCAATTATGTAGTCGGTCTTCTGCTCGAATGTCCACCCTCGCGGTCTGGACTCGAGGGGCGCGATCCCGCGATACGCGGCCACACGGAGAAGTTCCGCGCGGGGCATCCGCGAAAAGACGCCCCGTATCCGCGGGGGTCGCGGCCCAGGGGCCTCTGCCCGCGAGGCCGTGGAAACGGACGTGTGCTTTTCGCCCCCGAGGTCAAGTCCAAGGGGGGCTTCAAGCCGTGAGGCCCCACCTCGGGAGCGTTTTGAGGCGTGCCGCGAGACCTTGGCGGGTAAAAGCCCGCGCGGGGGGAGGGAGGCGTCTATCTAGGCCTCCCAGATGGAGTCGGAGCAGATGGGGTCGGAGGATCGTACCGCATCGGCGATGCATCGGCGACCACACCACAGCGTCACTCGGCCTTTTTTATAGTATGTGATTGCTCCCGCGTGCCGCCCTCGGCAACCCGAACTGAGGCATGATCGCCGTATGCCGGCTGGCATGTGTGACTGACGCGAGGATGCTCCGCACCCTCTGATGTTGATTCCTCACGTGGTTCAAGAGAATGCAGGTTGAGGAAGAGACGGAGTGGGAGAGGGATGGAGGGAGAGAGCGAGAGAGAGAGAGAGAGGGAGGTCAAACAAGTATGCACGTGCCTGGCGGTGTCGGATCCATCGCAGCCGCTCGTTAGCAGTAGGAATATGAATACCGTCACCATGGCCACTCCCACCTTGGACCATGATCAGGACGCAGGCTCCTGCAGGATGCGCCAGGCATGTACCTAGACCATGTACCCAGCGGCGTTCGACACAACCCGTCAGCCATTATACCCGGGTTGTACACCAGAGGCCTCTTGTGTGCTTCCTGGGACGCCCCTCAGACGCCTTTTGGGGGCCTCCAGGGTGATCGTGGGGCATGCTCTAGAGGGGCTGTCGCCTCGGAGGCCTCTCGGGCCGCCTCGGGGCTGCGGAGGCAGTTCGGACCGCCTCGGAGCGTCGGAATCGCCACAAGGGGAGAGCGCCAAACCGCCCCTCTGCAGAGAAAGAAGAGAGGTCGGCCTCTCTTGGGGCCCTCTTGGGCGTCATCTCTCACCAGGTGCGTGTTTGGCTCAGGGTCGCCGGCGACGCCGCCGTCGCCGTCGCCGTCGCGCGAGCCGCCATGGGGCCTGTGAGCTGGTCGTGGCTGCTGGCCTCGACGCTGGTGGTGCAGCGGCCGCTGCTGCTGGCGGCCAGCAGCGAGTACCAGTGCCTGGACAGCCCGAAGCTGTTGGAGACCACCCTGGTGGTCTCCGCCTCCAGAGCTGGCAACAACACGAGGGACTTCGAGGTGCCGCCCCTGCCACTCGGCGACGACAGCTTCGCTTACGCGCTCCGCAGCGCGTTCGTCGTCTTGCCGTGGCGGTGCGTCAAAGGTCTCGGCCTGGAGCCAAACGTTGGTGATCTCGACGGGGCTCTCGACCAGTGGATGGGTCGATTTGGCGACCTGTGTGTTGGCGGCCCGTGTTCCAGCAGCCACCTGCGCGGCAAGACGACCTCAGTGTTGAGAGATTGCACCCTCGGCTGGGTCATCTTCGCGCACGGCAGCGGCGGCTTCACCTACGACAACCCGCGCTACACGTACATGATGGCCGCCGCAGGGTACGGCGTGATCGCTCCCGACTCCTTCGCGTCCGCAGAGCTCGGACTCAGGTATAAGGCTCCCGTCGAGAACCTGCCCGCGCACCTCAGGGCCCTCAACAACGGCTCGGGCGGCGGCAGTTATTGGTGTGACAACAACGTGTACGAGGCGACCTCCACCTGTCCGCCAGCCATGGCGAAGAGCTCGGGAGGTGCGACGTCGTACCCGCTCTGCTACAGCTCCGACGCGGACGTCATTCTGTCTGACACGACGAGCTGGCGGCAGTACTACGAGAGGGTGTACCAGCTTCGCCAGAGGGAGCTCGACTACGTCGTGGAGCACCTCCCCAGCTGGGTGCGGGAGTCCCCCAAGCTTTTTCTGGCGGGCGAGAGCGAGGGGGGCATGGTGGCAGCGCGCTACTACCACCCCAAGCTGGAGCCCCTGCTCCAGGCTGGGGGCAGGGTAGTGCTGCAGTGGGGCTGCGGGTGGGATTACTACGTCAGCTGCCCCAGCAACGCCCAGATCGGCGGGGGGCGCGCGGACGTCAGCAGCACGCCGGTGCTGAACGCCATCTCGCATGTGGACCCGTTCTTTGGGCCGACGGAGAGCTCCGTGGCGTGGAAGGTCGCGAACGCCCCAGGCGGCTACGGCGCCCGGCCGCCCTCGGGCAACTGCATGGCGCAGCTCGGGGCGCAGGGCATCAGGCACGGCTACGTGGTGAGCGACGTGGGCTCGGAGTACCACGGCCTCACCGAGACGAGCGGCAACCTCCTGCGCGCTCTGCTGTTCGGCTTCCTGGCGGCCCCCAGGTCGCCTTCCCTGCTCTCGCGGCTCCGCGAGGAGGGCGGCCGGGGGTGCGCGAACGAGTCCGTCACCGACGGCCTGCGCTTCGCGGAGTGCTCGGAGCTGGGGCCCGGTGAGACGGTGCCTGGCGCGGAGATGCCAGAGTGCGCGTGGCCTGACTACGACTACCACCTGGAGTACTACCTCCCGGACGAGCCCGGCCCCAACGAGCCGAAGGGCGACGGCAGGTGAACCTCTGGCCGCTGCCGGCGCGCAGGCAGCAGCTGGGCACCGTGGACGCCTGCGGCGCGGGCGTAGGGCCGGCGGGGCCGCGCCTTGGCCCGCGCTCCTCCAGCTCAAGCTCGGGGAGCAACAGACTCCCTCTGGCAGCCGCGGCCTCGCCCTGGTGCAGCCGGCCCTCGCGCTCTTTTTGGCCCTTACAGACACCTTCGGGCCCGCGCGCGGCTGCACGGGGCCCGCACTGCACCTCCTCGCGGCTCCGGGGCACCTCGCGGGCGGTTACAGGCCCGCGGGGCCCGGCTCGGCAGGCCTGCGGTGCCCGCGCGGCCCTTGGAGTTTCTGGGGCCGGGTGGCGGCACTTCGCCCGCAGGCCCGATACCACCAGAGGCGCGAGGCCAGCAGCAGCAGACCAAAAGATCTCTCGCCAGGTGTGTTGCACTCCTCTCTCAAGTCGGGCCTGTCCCCCTGCAGGGTGAGCATTGAAAGGTAGTAGAAGGGAAGATCGTCTGGGGACGATGTCTGTTTGTATGTTTGAGCATTGCTCTTTGAATGTTTGGCTATTTGAATTTTGTCGCCCACATATCCCCCTGCACGGGGACAGGCCCGACCTAACACTACTCGCAAAGTGCCGACTCCCGCAAACGTCAGGACCCAAACAAAAACGTGTTTCCTGCTATGTAATGCATCGCGAGTCCCCCGCGGCGGATCCAGAGGCCGTTCTGCGAGAGTAGTTCCTCTGCGAGTTGCGGAACGCGCTCGTCAAGTCATGCATCCGCTCTTGGGGCGTCCTGGAGGCCTCGGCCGCCGATAGGCCGCGTGTGGCCGTCTCGGGGAGCGCTCGCCCGCATGCATCCAAGGTCGGCATCGCAGGCTTGGAAGTTGACACCCACAAGCCAATGTCGGCGTCGTGCCTCCACCCGAGGGACGAAGATCCCGATCTCGGTGATGGTGGTAAGGTTCTGGCTTCCAAGGTGACCGAAATAGTACCACCAACACCGAGATTAGGATGAGATCCCCCCTGTGGAGGCAACCCCCTGTGTTGGTGTTGGTGCCCATTTCCAGGCCTCCAACAGCAGCGCCGACCGCTTCGCCAGTGGAGTCGCCGAAGAGGTGCTCCTCGAGATCATCAGATGTGCTTGCCTCGCTCTCGTCGAGTGCGTCCAGCCTCAGCTGCGGGGAACTCGGGATCAGGGCTCGAGCTAAACGGTGTGTTGGCGATTTCGTGGACATTTTTGTTTAGATTCCGTTTTGCTGCAGATGTGGATTGAAGACCGAACGAGGGACATGCGAATCTCAAACGACCAACGAAAAACCATGTTTTGGTCGAGTCCTGCTTGGGATGAGTGTTCAGAGACGGTTTCTCGATATGTCCGCCCGCTCCCGTTTTCGCGAGCTGACGGAGGGCCAGTTTCCGCTTCCATCGTACAGTCAACCCGCATGGTAAGGACGGCCAGCCTTCCCAAGTGTACCTTTGCATCCTTGCCTCCTCGGCCCATCCTTGGCCACTTTTGGTGGCCGCGCCCCGCTCGAAGAGCCTCGAAATGGGCGTCCAAGGCCCTTGTATCTTTATCGTGCATCCTTACTATACGGGTTGACTGCACGGGGAACTCGGGACGAGTGTTCGGAGAACGTGTCTGGACAGGTCCAGCCGTTCCCGTGTCTCCGGGTTGACGGAGGGCCAGCTGCCATTTCAATCGTGGTTCACCATCTCCGGGCCCTCGGGCCTCCTTCTGCTCGTGGGGGCGCAGCAATCGTATCCGCGGCTTTCTGTTCGCAGATGCCCCGCGCGGAACATCCTCATGGGATCGTGTATCCATTTAGGAGGCCGCATGCGAACCCCACCCCACCTCCCCACGATTTCTAAGGGGGGAGGTGGGGTTCTTTTCGTGCGGGACCTCCCGAGCGAAATGAGCCCCATCTTCCACCTTAGAAATCCTGGGGAGGTGGGGAAGGGTTCGCATGTGGACTCCTATCCATCGCGCCTCGGTGACCATACCGCGAGGGTACGGAGATGGATACGCTCGTGACTCGCACCGAAAAATCTGTGCGATGGGTGCGTTTCCCCCCCCCCCCCCCCAGGGCTCGTTTCGATTCCGCGAGTTCGATTATGTACCGTTTTCACCCAGCTCGATCCGATTCGGTTTCGATACCTGTATTTCTAACTGTGGACTTGGCGTGGCCACTTCCACTCGGTTTCGATTCCGTGCACGCCTCCAGAAATCCGCGCTGACCGGCCAAAGTCTGTGTTTATGTTGTTTTTGATCCTCGGGGGCGGCAAAGAGGGGGGTGATGACTAGGGGGGGGGATACCATGGCGTGGGCCATGACATTTCCTCAGATGTCATGGCGCCTCTTCTTCTTATCTCATTGCGTTCCTGCCCCCCCCCCGCTGGGCCGCGCACACGCCGCCGGCCACGAGTTGCGCCCGTCCCTCTTGGACGCCCCCCTCTTGGCCGCCCCCGAGTTCCTCTACTTTCGGGAGGGGAACAAAAACACAGACACAATGAATCGCCGACTCCCAGGAAAATGTTGGAAATATGAGAGAAGTGTGGGGGGGAAGACGAAACATGGGAAAAGATGGGTAATCCTGTCATTTGTGTATTGATTTGTGTGTCCCAGGGCCCCTTCGTACTCCAGGAGCAGAGTTTGAGACCACGGGGGAGGGGGGTCGTTTCCCCCAGGAGGCGTGGCCCGCTCTTTCGGGTGTCGCCTGCCCCGCACGACGAGCACACCCTGGCCTTCGCCCCAGTCCGCCCTCCCTCCCCCCTCCGGCGGCTCTCGCTGCCTTCCTCCTCCTCTTCCCCCTCTTCCCACCCCATCCTCCTTCTCCCCCTCCCCCTCCCCCTGCTTCTCCTCCTCCTCCTCCTCCTCCTCCTCCTCCTCCTCCTCCTCCTCCTCTTCCCCCTCTTCCCCCCCATCCTCCTCCTCCTCCCACTCCTCCTCCCACTCCTCCTCCTCCTCCTCCTCCTCCTCCTCCTCCTCCTCGTCCTCCTCCTCCTCCTCCTCATTCATCGCCTCCCGCCTCACTCGGCGGCGAGCGAGGGAGGAGGAGATGAGGAGGAGATGTGTTCCAAAGGCCGAGTCTCCGAAATCTCGGCCCATGCCCCGGGGCCGGCTTTTCCATCCTATGATCATTTTTCTTGACGCTCCCGCGGCCCGGCAGGGGCCCACAGAGGCCGAAAGTAATAGAGGATTCCCACTCCGTCACGAGCTTTCCTCTGACTCGGCGACTCAGAGGCGGCAGGAAGGAGAAGGCGCTCTCGGAAGGCGCTTATCAGGAGGGAAAGAAACACACAGACACAATTAATCGTCGACTCCCAGGAAAATATGCAAAAATATGGAAGTGGTGGGGAAGACAAAAACCCAGAAAGTATGGGAAAATATGGGGGATATTTTTATTTGTGTGTATTTATTTGTGTGTTCCAGTTCCCCTTCAGCTTAGACTTCTCAGAAGCCTCCACGCCTTCCGAGGGGTGTCCTGCGTCGTCGGGCGAGGCGCGGACCCATTCTCGGAAGGCCTGGGGACTTCAGAGCCGTCTGAGAAGGCCCGCCCCTTCCCACTTCCCCCGCCCCTCTCGCTCGCCGCCGACCCACTCCTCGTCCCCCAGAGGCAGCTGGATGATCCGCCCGCACATTCCGCTGCCCCTTCAAAGACGGAAAAAAAGGGACCCATACTGCTACCCTTCGCTCTTTTCTTTTTTTCAGCCTCCTGGGAGGGCCTCGTCGCCACCGCTGGATTCGCCTCGAAATTCAGGCCAGAGCGCACCCCAGGAGAGGTCCGGGGAGTAGCTCCCATTTCCGTTTCCCCCACGTGTCCCGACAGCGATGATCACGATGGTGGCGGTGAGGCAGACGAAGACGAGGACAGGGACGAGAACGACCACGGACAACGGACAACGGGCGTCGACAATGACGATTTGTGACGATCGATCACCGACGACGGACGACGACAATGACGAAGAGGTCCAGGTTGAGGACGGTACTTACTACTAGCTAGTCAAGTTACCGCGTGTGTTGTGTGATTTCTCTGCGATGTGGAGGGCGCTAAGCCTCTGAGAGCTAGTCGATCAGCTGTGAGGCCCCGATTTGGGGCGGGGGAGGGGTATTTTGAGTGTCTGCGGAAGGTTGGGCCAAAACAGACCAGCTCCAGCGCCATCACCGCTTGCGCCCTCTTTGATACCTGGTGGCCGCGGGTATTGCGGTGATGATGGGGAGTCATCTGCCTTCGGGCGCTCATAGAGACACGTCTGCGGAGCATTGTTTCGTTCCATTTGCGCCATTCTTATCATTCCCCAGGCTCTGCGCGCAATGCGGGATTCGTATCGATGCGGCGAGGAACTGGTCTGGTTCTCAGCGTTCCAGCCGTCGCTGCCGTGGGGGCCCAACCGTTGCTGGTGAGTGGTGCACCTTCCTCCAACCGTTGCCGCCGTGGGAGCTCCACAGAAAGACCCCACTAGCACCGCCCGCATGCGTCGCCCACCACCTAGTACTGCATTTCGCGGCCCCACTGATTGGGAACACCACCAAGCGCCCGCATGCGCCCCCCCCCCCACACGTGGCACAGCCACGCAGGGTTCCACAGGCAGGGCTCCACCCACGGGCAGGTCCGCCGTGGACTGCGGAGGCTGGCGGCTTCAGGGCGCTGCACACGCGAGGTCCTCGGCCGAAGCAGCCCCTGCTCGGGCGACCCCGCGCCAGCGTCCGCCAGCGTGCTCCAGGCAGCGGACCAAAGCCCCTGGCATCGCTCGGACGTGTGCATTTTTCCTTCGGCGAGGACCATCGAGGAGCATCCCTGATCATTTGGCGAAAAAACCACGCACGAAACCGAAGAAAACACAGGGAATGGACGTCCGAGCGATGGCCAGGGCCTGGGGCGCGCTCAGTGTGAAATGGTACGGAAAAAGGGTTCCGACCACGGGTCGGGAGCCTCGAGGCGGGTGTCAATGCAAACGGGGGTCAGCCAGAGCGCCCGATCTTGCAGGATCTTGCGGGGCCAGGGTCGCATTGACCAGGGCTTGGGAGCACGATCATGCCGGATCTTGCAGGATCCTTCGCAGTGACCCGCGTGTGGGCGCGGGATCTTGCAGGATGTTGCAGGAGTCTGCAAGGCCTGACTGACCCAGGTTTGGATCGGCCCGGGTCAGAAGATCCCCGAACGGGGTTCCACGCAGCAGGGTTCCGCGTAATCACGGTCGGAACGCGAGATCATAACATCGAGGTCGGCTCAGGCAGGGCACCTTGATGTTCGTCGTGCTTGTTGGATGTCCCTGTGCATCCTGGGGGGGGTACCCTCCAATGTTTGGAGGGTGAAAGAGG